TTAGTAGTTGTAGGTGTTGGACATCGAGGCCACGTCGACACTTATTTATGTGTATTCCACATTTTACTAATCCATATATTTGCCAAACAATTCTAATTTTTTTGTATTGGTTGCCCCCTTACATGTATTTGAAATATATGAAATTGTGGAGAGTAACTAATACATTGTCTGATGTATTTGTTGATGTTTCGCCAAGTATTTGCTTAGAGCTTTCGTTTTATAAATTCGTTTGAAAAAAGTATTGGAAAATAGTGAAGAAGATTTACGGAAATTTCAATAGTAATAATAAGAATAATAATAATAATAATAATAATAATAATAATAATAATAATAATAATAAATATATAAATAAGCTTGGTAATCTGCTGAAAACTCTTGTTTATCTTCAAAGAAAATACTATTATTATGATGTATCACACACTTGCACACACCAAGTCACACCCTCACTCAACAAATAAATTTCATGTATAATCCTAACACACACGGAAATGAGGGTTTTGGGAAGCTCCTGCAACATTATATAATGACATAGACCTGATTGTTCTTATTCCTTCATCACAAACAGAATTTGAATCATTAAAAGAATATCATTCTAGAGGCAGAAAAAGTAACAAACAATAGGAGAATCTGATGGGGGATAACCAGCAACAGCAACAGAACTATGGGTCAAACAGGAGTGATGGAAAGACATCAAAGGCCACTGTGATGCCAGCAAACAGGAAGCATGTGTCAACTATGATGGCTGAGAAGACCGCAAAAGTGATTGCATCAACTGCAAAACATATCAAGAACAAGAATAAGATAAATCCTGGAGAGTACGGTTCTTGATTGTAGGTGATGCATGAACATAATGAAACAAGTTGCACAAATTTGTTTGCTGCATAAGAGTGCTATATATATGTATGTTATGTATGTATGTTAAATATGTGTTCAAGTACGTTTCATTTTTGTAACCCACTCCAAACCTATGTGTGTACTTTGTAGTTTGTTTATCGATATTTATGTGCAAGAAGTAGCTACATAAGATATAAATATTTGTTGTACTTTTGAATTAGCCTTATGTTTCTTACTTAATCCACTTATGCGTTGTTTAAGACTATATCATAAATGTTGAAACAGTTCGCTAAAAAGCATGGATATATAGCCTTCAACAAATTATAGTGAGAATTAATTACCTTTAGAAAATTAAAATTTAATTTATGCAGGAAATATATCTTATGTCATTATTGATTTAGACTACTTTTGAAATTAAAACACATTTAATTTTTGGATCCATTGATGTTCTTAGATAGGTGTTTCAAGCACAACAAGACAATGTTTTGAGTTATATTTTTCATTTGACTTATAGTTTTCTACCAAACAATAAACATATTTTTTTATTTCCACATACAATGAGGGCTAGAATTAGAAATTGAGGCCTTTATTTCTTTCCACCCTGCCAAAACATCTATATTTTTTAATTTTTGGAAACATATACGCTATATAAGGTTGATGCCATATAATTTCTGAATTCGTTACTTGAGAAGGCGGGTTGTAATCCTTTTATGGCATCTTGTTGTAAAATATCACTGAAATCAACTTGTAATTTTGAGTAAAATGGAGTGCGTTTTTGTTAAACCTAAATTTTTTTGCTATTTGTTCAATAAAGGTTAATACGCGTCAAAATTTACATGGCGCTTATTAAGGCGGCAAAAAAACAGAGGTAACTTCCTAAACTACTTTGAAAGTTTCTCTTTCATTCGGCTTATCATATCATAAAAAAAACAAGTCACAGTCAGCTCGTACTTCTTTGATTTTTTCATCATTAAAAACATCTGAGAACTAAGAGACTTGTAGGGTAATAAACACCCCACGCTTATCTCAATTCTCATTAGGGATTGAAACGACTCGGTCTTGCACCACTTGGTGATCAAGAAAATCTTAATTTAAACAACTTTTTAGCATTAAATACTTTCAAACATAAAACAAGTGGAATTTCATCTAGTGACCATGTCTAAATCAGTCAGACCCTAATGATGCGTCACGACGTGGTATCAAAAGGAACTATAGTTTCTTTACGTAACATTGCTCGTACTTTGAATCGTAGTTAAAAGACTTCTGAATTTTAACCTTAACTGTTCAACAACTATTAGTGTCACTTGCACGACCATATTAATAATGTTTACAACATACACTAGTTACAAAAAATGTTTTGTTTAAAATAGGTTTTAATCCAAAATCAAGTGTGTTAAGGCTACTTAGGAAATATCGATAATAGTAAGAGTGGAAACTTGTCAGGATACCATTTTCAGTTTGGAAATTAATGAAAGAAGTCGAGAGTATGTGATTGCAAAAAACATTGAGAATAGAAAACTTTTTTTGTAGTATGTTGAAACCATGCTAGATTGCACAAAATAAAAATAATAAAAATAAAAATAAAAACTTCTTTACCTAACATTGCCCGTACCTTGAATCGTAGTTTTTTTTTTTTGTTGGTTTTTTTAACAGAAAGAAATTTACTAAACCCTAGAGATGCGCTAAAAATATACAACTTAAATAGAATTACATATCAGATTGGGCTGACCGGTCCAAGTCTCCCATTTAACAATCTTAGCTTGCTTAATTCTACTTCTGAACCAAGGGAACGAGAGAATTTGTACCTCATAGAAGATAGACTTGCAATTTTTAAACTTGCCATGAAACACTTTGTCATTTCTATAGGACCAGATCACAGGAAAAAAATTCCAACAAAAATGTTCCAATGTTGATCTACCTTTTCTTCCTATTATCACCAGCTGTTCAGTTGTTCAGTAGGTGTGGAGGAGCTTGAAGTAGCTGGAATCTCATTCCACCAATTATGAAGATAAGTTAAAACTTCCTTTCATGTAGAGCATTCAAGAAAGAGATGGTTTTCAGATTCCTCCTTAAAGAGACATATGGGACACATAACAGACATGAATTAGATTCATCTATTGCTTAAATTCTTTAAAGTCAGACGTCTTTCCAAACAAGCCCTCTAGTAGAAAAGGATGTTGACCTTGATAGGAATCGTTTTATTCTAGTACGTGACATTTTGACTAGAATTCAATGTTTTGTTGTCAACTAATTTTCTAAGAGAGGCGATTGTGAAAATACAATGTTCCTCTACACTCCCCATGTTCCACTTCTGTTTGCGGTTGAACGAGACCTCCCTAAGCTACCATCAGAACCATGCAAAAAAGAACCCTAATCTTGTGTGAATTTCCACCACCATTTACAAAGAAGCGCAAAATTGAGAGCTTGCAAACTGCCAATTCTAAAACTCCGATGCTTTTGAGCTCAGACCTTATGCCAAGCAACCCACACAACTTTTCTCTTGTCCGAATTTTCACCCCAAAAGAAGTTACATCTGATACTTTCAAGCGTTTTTATAACTTGATTCCGTGCTTTATAAACATATAGGAACCTAGGTGTCCATGAACCGATTTGCAAATAACTAGCTTTCCGCCGAAAGAGAGACATCGAGCTTTCCAAGATGACAACTTATTTTGGAATTTATCAACCAAACATTGCCAATTGTTTTTTCTTGTCATACTTCCGCCTACCGGAAACCAAAGATAATTGAAGGGAAGGTTTTCATCTATACAAGACAACTCTCTCGCTAAATCTCCAACCTCCTGACTACTAACCCCCACTTCCATAATTCTGCTCTTAGAAAAGTTTATGCTTAGACCAGAGGAGACATGGAAACATCTAAGCAACCTCATTAGGTTTTTGGCATTTTCTGTTGAACATTCTTCGAGAAACAAAGTATCGTCAGCAATTTGGAAGATCGAGAGTTTTAGACCATTATTAGGCAAACCTATCCCTTTGTAAAACCCTTTTTCCATTGCATCATACAATGACACTTTTAATCCTTCCGCATCAATGATAAATAGAAACTGTGAAAGGGGGTTTCCCTACCGAATCCTTTTTGAAGCTTGAATTGTTTTGTTGCTGCCCCGTTGACCAATACTGATACTCTTGGTGACGAGATAATTGCTAACATCCAATTTCTCCATAAATCTCCAGAGCCCATTTTAATCATCATGTCATCCAAAAGTTTGCAGTTGAGATTATTTAAGGCTTTCTAAATATCGAGCTTGAATTTCATCAATTTCTTCATCCTTTTTTAGCCCACCTAACCACATGTGTTGTGGTTTTCTCTAACATGACGCTATATCATGGTTAAAAAGGTGACAACCAAACATGTCATGATCTAGTGTCGAAGCAGAATATTGAGTTCTCACCAATGTTGTCTATGAGGTGTGTTGGTTGTATAATCATCTACTTGAACTACCTTTCCCCTCACAACAGCCGCTATAGCAGGTTTTCTCCATGTCTAGGTTGGAGTGGTTTAGTAGTTGTAGGTGTTGGACATCGAGGCCACGTCGACACTTATTTATGTGTATTCCACATTTTACTAATCCATATATTTGCCAAACAATTCTAATTTTTTTGTATTGGTTGCCCGCTTACATGTATTTGAAATATATGAAATTGTGGAGAATAACTAATACATTGTCTGATGTATTTGTTGATGTTTCGCCAAGTATTTGCTTAGAGCTTTCGTTTTATAAATTCGTTTAAAAAAAGTATTGGAAAATAATGAAGAAGATTTATGGAAATTTCAATAATAATAATAATAATAATAATAATAATAATAATAATAATAAATAAATAAATATATAAATAAGCTTGGTAATCTGCTGAAAACTCTTGTTTATCTTCAAAGAAAATACTATTATTATGATGTATCACACACTTGGACACACCAAGTCACACCCTCACTCAACAAATAAATTTCATGTATATTCCTAATTAAGTTCCTACACATTGCCATGCAGGCACACACACGGAAATGAGGGTTTTGGGAAGCTCCTGCAACATTATATAATGACATAGACCTGATTGTTCTTATTCCTTCATCACAAACAGAATTTGAACCATTAAAAGAATATCATTCTAGAGGCAGAAAAAGTAACAAACAATAGGAGAATCTGATGGGGGATAACCAGCAACAGCAACAGAACTATGGGTCAAACAGGAGTGATGGAAAGACATCAAAGGCCACTGTGATGCCAGCAAACAGGAAGCATGTGTCAACTATGATGGCTGAGAAGACCGCAAAAGTGATTGCATCAACTGCAAAACATATCAAGAACAAGAATAAGATAAATCCTGGGGAGTACGGTTCTTGATTGTAGGTGATGCATGAACATAATGGAAGTCGCACAAATTTGTTTGCTGCATAAGAGTGCTATATATATGTATGTTATGTATGTATGTTAAATATGTGTTCAAGTACGTTTCATTTTTGTAACTCGCTCCAAACCTATGTGTGTACTTTGTAGTTTGTTTATCGATATTTATGTGCAAGAAGTAGCTACATAAGATATAAATATTGGTTGTACTTTTGAATTAGCCTTATGTTTCTTACTTAATCCACTTATGCGTTGTTTAAGACTATATCATAAATGTTGAAACAGTTCGCTAAAAAGCATGGATATATAGCCTTCAACAAATTATAGTGAGAATTAATTACCTTTAGAAAATTAAAATTTAATTTCTGCAGGAAATATATCTTATGTCATTATTGATTTAGACTACTTTTGAAATTAAAACACATTTAATTTTTGGATCCATTGATGTTCTTAGATAGGTGTTTCAACCAAACATTGCCAATTGTTTTTTCTTGTCATACTTCCGCCTACCGGAAACGCAAGATAATTGAAGGGCAGGTTGTCATCTATACAAGACAACTCTCTCGCTAAATCTCCAACCTCCAACCTCCTGACTACTAACCCCCACTTCCATAATTCTGCTCTTAGAAAAGTTTATGCTTAGACCAGAGGAGACATGGAAACATCTAAGCAACCTCATTAGGTTTTTGGCATTTTCTGTTGACCATTCTTCGAGAAACAAAGTATCGTCAGCAATCTGGAAGATCGAGAGTTTTAGACCATTATTAGGCAAACCTATCCCTTTGTAAAACCCTTTTTCCATTGCATCATACAATGACACTTTTAATCCTTCCGCATCAATGTTAAATAGAAACTGTGAAAGGGGGTCTCCCTACCGAATCCTTTTTGAAGCTTGAATTGTTTTGTTGCTGCCCCGTTGACCAATACCGATACTCTTGGTGACGAGATAAATGCTAACATCCAATTTCTCCATAACTCTCCAGAGCCCATTTCAATCATCATGTCATCCAAAAGTTTGCAATTGAGATTATTTAAGGCTTTCTAAATATCGAGCTTGAATTCATCAATTTCTTCATCCTTTTTTAGCCCACCTAACCACATGTGTTGTGGTTTTCTCTAACATGACGCTATATCATGGTTAAAAAAGTGACAACCAAACATGTCATGATCTAGTGTCGAAGCAGAATATTGAGTTGACACCAATGTTGTCTATGAGGTGTGTTGGTTGTATAATCATCTACTTGAACTACCTTTCCCCTCACAACAACCACTATAGCAAGTTTTCTCCATGTCTAGGTTGGAGTGGTTTAGTAGTTGTAGGTGTTGGATATCGAGGCCACGTCGACACTTATTTATGTGTATTCCACATTTTACTAATCCATATATTTGCCAAACAATTCTAATTTTTTTGTATTGGTTGCCCGCTTACATGTATTTTAAATATATGAAATTGTGGAGAATAACTAATACATTGTCTTATGTATTTGTTGATGTTTCGCCAAGTATTTGCTTAGAGCTTTCGTTTTATAAATTCGTTTAAAAAGAGTATTGGAAAATAATGAAGAAGATTTATGGAAATTTTAATAATAATAATAATAATAATAATAATAATAATAATAATAATAATAATAAATAAATATATAAATAAGCTTGGTAATCTGCTGAAAACTCTTGTTTATCTTCAAAGAAAATACTATTATTATGATGTATCACACACTTGCACACACCAAGTCACACCCTCACTCAACAAATAAATTTCATGTATAATCCTAACACACACGGAAATGAGGGTTTTGGGAAGCTCCTGCAACATTATATAATGACATAGACCTGATTGTTCTTATTCCTTCATCACAAACAGAATTTGAATCATTAAAAGAATATCATTCTAGAGGCAGAAAAAGTAACAAACAATAGGAGAATCTGATGGGGGATAAGCAGCAATAGCAACAGAACTATGGGTCAAACAGGAGTGATGGAAAGACATCAAAGGCCACTGTGATGCCAGCAAACAGGAAGCATGTGTCAACTATGATGGCTGAGAAGACCACAAAAGTGATTGCATCAACTGCAAAACATATCAAGAACAAGAATAAGATAAATCCTGGAGAGTACGGTTCTTGATTGTAGGTGATGCATGAACATAATGAAACAAGTTGCACAAATTTGTTTGCTGCATAAGAGTGCTATATATATGTATGTTATGTATGTATGTTAAATATGTGTTCAAGTACGTTTCATTTTTGTAACCCACTCCAAACCTATGTGTGTACTTTGTAGTTTGTTTATCGATATTTATGTGCAAGAAGTAGCTACATAAGATATAAATATTTGTTGTACTTTTGAATTAGCCTTATGTTTCTTACTTAATCCACTTATGCGTTTTTTAAGACTATATCATAAATGTTGAAACAGTTCGCTAAAAAGCATGGATATATAGCCTTCAACAAATTATAGTGAGAATTAATTACCTTTAGAAACTTAAAATTTAATTTCTGCAGGAAATATATCTTATGTCATTATTGATTTAGACTAGTTTTGAAATTAAAACACATTTCATTTTTGGATCCATTGATGTTCTTAGATAGGTGTTTCAAGCACAACAAGACAATGTTTTGAGTTATATTTTTCATTTGACTTATAGTTTTCTACCAAACAATAAACATATTTTTTTATTTCCACATACAATGAGGGCTAGAATTAGAAATTGAGGCCTTTATTTCTTTCCACCCTGCCAAAACATCTATATTTTTTAATTCTTGGAAACATATACGCTATATAAGGGTTTATGCCATATAATTTCTGAATTCGTTACTTGAGAAGGCGGGTTGTAATCCTTTTATGGCATCTTGTTGTAAAATATCACTGAAATCAACTTGTAATTTTGAGTAAAATGGAGTGCGTTTTTGTTAAACCTAAATTTTTTTGCTATTTGTTCAATAAAGGTTAATACGCGTCAAAATTTACATGGCGCTTATTAAGGCGGCAAAACAAGAGAAAGGTAACTTCCTAAACTACTTTGAAAGTTTCTCTTTCATTCGGCTTATCATATCATAAAAAAACAAGTCACAGTCAGCTCGTACTTCTTTGATTTTTTCATCATTAAAAACATCTGAGAACTAAGAGACTTGTAGGGTAATAAACACCCCACGCTTATCTCAATTCTCATTAGGGATTGAAACGACTCGGTCTTGCACCACTTGGTGATCAAGAAAATCTTAATTTAAACAACTTTTTAGCATTAAATACTTTCAAACATTAAACAAGTGGAATTTCATCTAGTGACCATGTCTAAATCAGTCAGACCCTAATGATGCGTCACGACGTGGTATCAAAAGGAACTATAGTTTCTTTACGTAACATTGCTCGTACTTTGAATCGTAGTTAAAAGACTTCTGAATTTTAACCTTAACTGTTCAACAACTATTAGTGTCACTTGCACGACCATATTAATAATGTTTACAACATACACTAGTTACAAAAAATGTTTTGTTTAAAATAGGTTTTAATCCAAAATCAAGTGTGTTAAGGCTACTTAGGAAATATCGATAATAGTAAGAGTGGAAACTTGTCAGGATACCATTTTCAGTTTGGAAATTAATGAAAGAAGTTGAGAGTATGTGATTGCAAAAAACATTGAGAATAGAAAACTTTTTGTAGTATGTTGAAACCATGCTAGATTGCACAAAATAAAAATAATAAAAATAAAAATAAAAACTTCTTTACCTAACATTGCCCGTACCTTGAATCGTAGTTTTTTTTTTGTTGGTTTTTTTAACAGAAAGAAATTTACTAAACCCTAGAGATGCGCTAAAAATATACAACTTAAATAGAATTGCATATCAGATTGGGCTGACCGGTCCAAGTCTCCCATTTATCAATCTTAGCTTGCTTAATTCTACTTCTGAACCAAGGGAACGAGAGAATTTGTACCTCATAGAAGATAGACTTGCAATTTTTAAACTTGCCATGAAACACTTTGTCATTTCTATAGGACCAGATCACAGGAAAAAAATTCCAACAAAAATGTTCCAATGTTGATCTACCTTTTCTTCCTATTATCACCAGCTGTTCAGCTGTTCAGTAGGTGTAGAGGAGCTTGAAGTAGCTGGAATCTCATTCCACCAATTATGAAGATAAGCTAAAACTTCCTTTCATGTAGAGCATTCAAGAAAGAGATGGTTTTCAGATTCCTCCTTAAAGAGACATATGGGACACATAACAGACATGAATTAGATTCATCTATTCCTTAAATTCTTTAAAGTCAGACGTCTTTCCAAACAAGCCCTCTAGTAGAAAAGGATGTTGACCTTGATAGGAATCGTTTTATTCTAGTACGTGACATTTTGACTAGAATTCAATGTTTTGTTGTCAAATAATTTTCTAAGAGAGGCGATTGTGAAAATACAATGTTCCTCTACACTCCCCATGTTCCACTTCTGTTTGGAACGAGACCTCCCTAAGCTACCATCAGAACCATGCAAAAAAGAACCCTAATCTTGTGTGAATTTCCACCACCATTTACAAAGAAGCGCAAAATTGAGAGCTTGCAAACTGCCAAATTCTAAAACTCCTGATGCTTTTAAGCTCAGACCTTATGCCAAGCAACCCACACAACTTTTCCCTTGTCCGAATTTTCACCCCAAAAGAAGTTACATCTGATACTTTCAAGCATTTTTATAACTTGATTTCGTGCTTTATAAACATATAGGAACCTAGGTGTCCATGAACCGATTTGCAAATAACTAGCTTTCCGCCGAAAGAGAGACATCGAGCTTTCCAAGATGACAACTTATTTTGGAATTTATCAACCAAACATTGCCAATTGTTTTTTCTTGTCATACTTCCGCCTACCGGAAACCCAAGATAATTGAAGGGAAGGTTTTCATCTATACAAGACAACTCTCTCGCTAAATCTCCAACCTCCTGACTACTAACCCCCACTTCCATAATTCTGCGCTTAGAAAAGTTTATGCTTAGACCAGAGGAGACATGGAAACATCTAAGCAACCTCATTAGGTTTTTGGCATTTTCTATTGAACATTCTTCGAGAAACGAAGTATCGTCAGCAATCTGGAAGATCGAGAGTTTTAGACCATTATTAGGCAAACCTATCCCTTTGTAAAACCCTTTTTCCATTGCATCATACAATGACACTTTTAATCCTTCCGCATCAAAGATAAATAGAAACTGTGAAAGGGGGTCTCCCTACCGAATCCTTTTTGAAGCTTGAATTGTTTTGTTGCTGCCCCGTTGACCAATACCGATACTCTTGGTGACGAGATAATTGCTAACATCCAATTTCTCCATAACTCTCCAGAGCCCATTCAATCATCATGTCATCCAAAAGTTTGCAATTGAGATTATTTAAGGCTTTCTAAATATCGAGCTTGAAATTCAAATTTCTTCATCTTTTTATAGCCCACCTAACCACATGTGTTGTGGTTTTCTCTAACATGACGCTATAACATGGTTAAAAAAGTGACAACCAAACATGTCATGATCTAGTGTCGAAGCAGAATATTG